ATTGCCCAACTTTCCTTCCGAGGAGTGGCTGGTGGGTTTGAACCACCAGCCGTCTGGTTAGCAGGCAAGTGTCTTAGCCACTATGCTACCAGACCTCCCGTGACCCACGGTAAGAAGCACATTTTGCCACGGTAGGAAGCACATTTTACATCTTGACCAAGTGCACACCTACACATCTATCTATGTCTATATAACTGAAATGTTCCACAAAATAGAATTTTTTCTGTAAGCAATATACATATCAGAATATGTTCTGTTTTAATTCATGTCTTAGTACTCTAGTGCTGCTATAACAGAAACATCCACAAGTGGATGACTTTAATAAACAGAAATTTATTGTCGTGACAGTTTAGGAGGATGGAAGTCCAAGTTCAGAGTGCCGGCTCTAGTGGAAGACTTTCTTTCTGTGTCTCTTGTTCCTAGGAAGATCCCAGCACAGAGACCCTGGATCCAAAGGACATGCTTCTCTCCTTGGTGGTAGTTGGTCTCCCTTCTCTGCTTCCTTCTCTGGTCTTGCCTTTTATCTCTTGTAAGATAAAAGGTGTTGCAGGCCCCACACCAGGAAAGCTCCTCTTCCATTGGATGAGGGCTGTGATGGGACTAAGAGTGGTGCAAAAAAACCGAAACCAAACTCACTGCTGTCTAGTCCGATCCGACTCATAGAGACCCCTCCTTGGGTTTCTGAGGCAGTATCGCTATGAAAGTAGATTGCCCAACCTTCCTTTCAAAGGGTGTTGAACCTACCCTTAATCTTAATCATTTTACATCTGATTGGTTTATCACATCAGATTACATCATGGGATATCATTACATATCTGCCATATTACATGATTACATAACTTCTAAACTACTGAGAATCATAGCCCAGCCAAGTTGGTACAGATTTTGGGGGGACACAATTCAATCCATAACAGTGCATTTAAAGAAAAAAAGAAACAGAAAAAGAAAGCCATTTGTGATCACTAAATGTATTTCCTAATCCATTTATGGACCCTATTCTTGTCAGGCAGCTTCATTTGACAGTGGCCTGGGGAAGATAATCGCATCGTGAATCAGCAGTGTGTCTTTTAACTACTAGTTAAAAGGTATCCTTTCCACTACACCATGTAGTCATATTTATCAGATTTCTCAAGAGGTACGTTTATGTGTCTTGTTTATTCTAATAATGTAGGAGCTATCTGATTCTGAGGTTAATCAGTTCATAACCACCTTCCAAGAAGTCCCATAAGACAGGAGTGCATGGAGGGATAGACACAGGGAAGTGGTAACTATTGGGAGGAATTGGGAAGGGAGCTGTTGCATTGGGGTAAATTGTAGTCAATGTCATGAGACAACGTGTGTGTGAAATGCTGTACGGAAAGTGAATTTGCTCTGTAAACTTTCACCCAAATCACAATAAAAAAAAAAAAAAGAAACCCGAAAACAAGAAGAAGCCCCATAGGATTTCCTTAGCTATAGTCTTTGAAGAAGCAGTTCGCCTGGTCTTTTTCCCACACAGCAGAGTAGCTGTGTGGATTTGAGCTTTCATCCTTTTGGTTAGCAGCCAAGTGCTTAACCGTTTGTACCATTAGGGTTCCTTTTCACATAATGAAACCCAAAAACCAAACCCTCATAGTGACCCCCATTGGGTTTCCAAGGTGGTAAATTTTTACAGAAGTAGACTGCCCCATCTTCCTTCCACAGGATGGCTGGTGGGTTTGAACCATCAACCTTCTGGTTAGCAGTCAAATGTCTTAGGTACTGTGCTACTAGAGTTTTTTTACATAATGCGTGCCCCATAAATAAATGGGATATATGCAATTTTTCTTAAGTTGGATTCTCACAATTACTTGCATCTTATTTTACTTCTAGATTTTCATATATACAGTGGTACAACTGTAGACAAGAAGAGGGCTAAGATGTATCGGCATAAATACCTCCAAATGATGAATATTCAAGTGGGTAAATAATCTTGGGTAAGGGTTTTGGAAGGAAGTACTTTTGGAGGCTAGAAAGGAGGTTGCTGCTATTTGGACAATAGATAGCTGTTTTCAGCATTTGAAAGATGACTGAGAAACATATAGAAAGGAGGTAGAGTTTGTAGAAGCCAGCAAGAGTGGATTTAGCATGAAAAGAGAAGGTTGGTGTGGTAACAATGTAGAGAGGCAAGTGAGAGCCTAAGCATGATGGAAAGCCTGAAAAGTTAGGTATTTACATGTGAGTTTCTGATGTACTCTATAAGTAAGTTGTAAATGCAAACTATTGAGAAAATGAGTTGGAATCACTTCACAATATTTGTGGAAAGGGCAGTGTGGCAATGAGGGTGCCTTATTGGAGCCTAATGTAACGTGAGCTGGGGATGTGAAGTGATGAATAACCTGCACAGGAAAAGCTGCCTTTTGGTTAAGGTGCAAGTAGGTGGATTCAGAGTTCTCAACAACCATCATTTAAGGGGCTTATGGTAGTTTCCTAGGGCTTCTGTAACAAAGTAACTCAAATTGGGTGGCTTAAAATAGCAGGCATTTATTCTTTCATAGTTCGGGAGGCTAGAAGTCCGAAGTCAAGGTGTCAGCAGCCATGTTCTTTCTGAAGAATCGTTTGTCTATCCCTAGTGTTTGGTGATTGATTGGCTTTCCATCCCTTGGTTTGTAGATGTATCACTCCAACCTCTGCCTCCATGATCACATGATGATCCCTTGTATGTTTCTCTGTGCCTTTTTTCTTTTTATTAAGACAAGAGTCATATTGGTTAGAGCCCACCCTAATCTAGTATGACCTCATCTTCACTGTATTTGCAAAGACCCTGTTTCTAAATCAGGTCACATTGACAGGTACCAGGAGTTAAGACTTAAGCATATTTTTTTGTTGGACACAATTCAACCCCATCAGGGTGTCCTCTTGGATGCAAGCAGCTTTAGATTGTGCAGAAGTGGGACTAGTAACACAAGAGTGGGTGAATCGAGCTGATTTGAAAATACAAACCCAA